GGTTCCACAGCAACTAAAGTAATTGAGAGAGTTCTTTGATGTAATGAGTCAATCCTTGATGTTCTTGTGTCACACTTGATCCACAGTTTTCAAGGTTTAAATGTTGTTAATGATCCCTTTGTGTTGAGGGCAATTGTTAGTCCCAATTGATGCTTGTTGAGGTTACTTTAGGATAGCTGGAATTACTTGGATTGTCCTTTAAGGGGTGGGTCTTATTTTGTCTGCTTGAGGACAAGCAAAGGTTTAAGTTTGGGGGAGTTGATAAGTCGGGATTTTAACATGTTTTATGCCCCTACTTGCCTATGCTTTGGTTATAAATTGCTACAAAATAGTCTCAAAATGCTCACAAGTTATGCTTGATTGCAGGTTTGATCGACAAAGCGACGAATGTCAAAGATCGGCTCAAAAAGGAGTGAAACTTGCTCAAGTGTCAAAGACTAAGTAAATTGAGGAAAAGAGAACCTAGTGCGGACCGCGCAAAGGTGAATGCGGCCGCACTAGGAGGTTCAGAGAGTTGGCATTTTCAAGCTGGAGGCTCCGCGGTCGTGCTACTCTTTTGTGCGGTCCGCGGAGCGGAGATTCAGAAAGCTCACATTTTGCCAATTCCAAGCAATGCGGCCCGCGCTCGTTTTTATGCGGCCGCGCCAACTTCCACTACGGCCGCGGTGCACTTCCACGCGGTCCGCGGTCCCCACTTCAAAGAAGCAGAAATGAGAAGCCCAAGAGCCAGTGCGGCCGCGGTCCGTTTTGCGCGGCCCGCACTGACCCCGTAGGGGTATTTTTGTCCAGTTTTTCCAGCCTAGTATAAATAGGACATTTTAGCATTTTTAGGTCAGTTTTGATATTCCAGACTTAGCTGCGCTAGGGAGACTCACTTTTGTAGCCATTTTCGGCACTTTTGCTCTTCATTAACAATAGATTATTGTAGTTTCTTCTTACTAATCAATTAATATGCTTAGTTCTTCATCTATTTCTTCAATTTCTGTATCTAGCATGAGTAGCTAAACCCATTAGCTAGGGTTGTGGCTCAACCCTAGTATGGGTAATTGATGGGTGTTGCCATCTAGGGTTAGATTGATTATGGGTGTTTGCTATTTGGGTTGATTTTATGTTTTAATTTAGAATTTGTGATTGCAAACATTGATTCAAGCTTAGTGGGTTTAACGCTTCTTGAGAAAGAGAGTCTATGACCCCAAAATTGACCCAACATGGAATTGGGATGGACTCATGAGAAATGATAGTCCCAATTAACGGGTTAAATCTCGAGAGAGTAATCACCCTACTTGAACCCCAGTTGCTTGATCAAATTGGCCTACCCAATTGGTCTCGAGAGAGTCAATTGGGCAAAATTACTTTCTCTACCGAGAGGTGTGAGAGTGGGTACAATTGTGCAACGGTTATAGCATAAGCCCCAAATATGTCAATCTATCCTTAGTAACATCTACCCGTCAATTAACCACCTAGGTAATGCCACGACCCTAGTGCCTTCCTTCCCATTAGATACAACTTTGCAATATTCTAGTAGCATAATTTAGCGTAAATCATTAGTTTTATCATAGTAGTTATAAAATCAAAAACCAAGAATGTCTGAAGTGACATTGGGAGCACAAACACATCTCTAGACTAGACAGAAAATCCAACTCCACTTCTAGCTCCCTGTGAAAATCGATCCTGACCACTATTCGGGTAAAAGCTATTGCGATCCGCTCTTCCTACCTTGGTGTAGTGTCGAGTTGGCAGCGATCAAATATTTTGCACCCTTCAGCTTGAAGGGGAGTATTATGATTTGTATTTGTATTGTATTAATTCTTTCCCTCTTATAGTGATAGGTGATAGTTGTTAATAGTTAGATTAGTTAGTTCGGTGGTTAGTTAGGAGTGACACGTGTCAGTAGCCCATTGGTAAGTTAAATGTTAGTTAGTGAAGTTAGTGGAGAAGCACCTCTGTATATACTCCTCTACAGAGATTGAGCAATACACACAATTATTTTACCAAATGTTTCATTCTCCTTCTTCTTCGTCAATCTAGAACCTTCCACCATTGAAGGACCTATCGAGCTTGAAGCTCTAAGTTGCAAAATTGCTCTATTTTTGACACAAATTCTTCAATTTTTTTTTATTATAGCAATGAAGAGTCATGTTGGTTAGTACTTTTTTTTTTGTTGGTTAGTACTTAAACATTGAGCAGGAGGTAATTCCTATTTTGGTGAAGGACAAAATGGTCAGCAAATTTTGAAGGATATTTGTGTAATTCAACTTTTAACTTAAGACCTTTCCACATTTAATATAATACTAGTGTTAGGCTACGCGCTTTGCGCGTGTACCTCATCTCAATGGATATAAATTTTTAAAAAGTTATGTAATTATTATATTAAAACTTCGTGTTTGTGTTATAATAGAAAAAAGTATAAGTTTGAGAATGATAATTGTTGATCATATTTAACATATCTAATATAAAGGAAGAAACTCTACCCATAGAAGTCCTCGATCATCTCAGTCAATATATCCAACTTAAAATTCATTCCAACATTATGATTTTATTACTTGAATTTCACAAGTTATCATACTTCCTTTTTAATTTCAGTAAGAACATATAATCCGCCAACGCTCAAGAATTTTTCTTAAGCTCATTGTCATTAGAAAATCAATCTTTTATTAAAAGTTTACTGAGTGCAAAATAGTACATCTAAATTTATTTCTTGCTGGTAAGTTGTTGAAATCTGGAATTTCTTACATATATAACCGTCAGGATTCTGCATAATATCAATAGTGTGTATTTTAATGAATATAAAAATAATTTAAATTAACTTCACTAATAAAATAGAAAATTAAAGCGCCAGAGTATTAAGTTATTGAAGAGATCTCATTCCCAACACCAGCACGTATGAAGTCTTCAACTTTAGGAAGAATAGGAAGGACCTTTTTCACTTTGAAAAACGTCAAAAGAGCCAACATTGTTGATTATTTCTAGAAATTTAATTATGCAAGAGTTCATACGTATATGTTTCTTTAAAAAGAATATTTCCAAGAAAGAGGATTCATGCAGAATATATATATATATATATATATATATATATATATATATATATATATATATAAGTCAAAAATTCTACAGGAAATCTCACAAAATAACCTTCTATAGCCAAAAGAGTAGAACAAAAAAGAATCTCAAAGATAAAAGTGCTCAAATTTTTATTATTATTTTTTAAACAAATTTAATTGGATCTATCCATTTAAACATTAGTTTCAATCTTGTTTTCCTATCTATACAAAGAGTCCTAAGCTAAAAGGAATTAAAAATCCTCTTTAGTTTTGGATGCCTTGTTATTGTTTCTCTTGTGCCTTCACTAATGTTGAGTTTAATATTTTATTAAAGATAATGAATAAAACAAAATAGGGAGTTGTTATTCTTTTGAACGAATGCAAAAAAAAAAAAAAAAAAAAAAAAAAAAAAAAACCATTTAGAATACATTTTACTTCTAAATATTTCATCCTTATAGCTTCAACTTTGTATCTAATGATAATGATGTAATCAATGTTGTTCTATTTTAATTTCTTTCTTCGCCGATATTTTTCTTATGGTAATAAAACTAATGCATTATAAAAATTTTATCAACTTGAAAAATATTTTTTTTATATATGATTAATTAGAAAATGAATCACACTAAATTCTTTTGCTTTTAGTTAGTTTAAGAAATTCAACTATTTGTTTTTAACATTAAAGAAATTAGTTTATTTTTTTGTCAAATTCTGAGTATTAAGTCATCCAAAATTTTAAATATTTAACTATAATTATAGTAGTTCAATAAGAATTTTATTTTTAAAGGGTAAACGCATCTGGCATTTTGTTTTAGGTGTTTGTGTTTGTAGAAGTTATTTACTTTTGTCAACCACTTCTCTCCATCTCTCTTTTAAATTCTTAACAAATCAGCATTGTTAACATTACATTAGTTATTTCATATTTGGACAAATCTTCATATTCCTTATTATCTTTCTTAGTTTCGCGAGGGATATACATTTATAAACCTTGAGGTTTGACTTTCATAATCACTGTGTAATAGGAGACGAAGAGAAAATTGATTGGTTAGTATAGATACAACTTAGGTAAATATTTTAGAAAGATTTTTAAAGTCAAAAATATTAGGCAAGAGATTTATATAGAATAAAATCTTGATTTTTAGTATTTAAATATTAGAAATTTTACATAGTTTAAATAAAGAAAGATTTAATGATCAAATTCAATGCCCTAAATTAAATTCCTAATTGTTGAGATAATAACTCAGTTCATTAATTTGTCTAATGCGAAATCATTAAGGGGTCAAAAAAAGGTAGATAGAAATTAATTATATCTGTATTTTTAATATAGTATAGATATAATATAGATAGATAGAAAACTAAAAGAATGTGTTCATGAAAAATAAAAGATCAGGATACTAACTAATCCGAACTATTGTCTTATTCTTTTTTTCCCCGTTCTTAACCTACTACAATTTTGACCTTCTTAACGTACTACAATTTTGACCTCTTTAATATGGTTATTAAATGATGAATTTTCTATATATAAAATTTTGCTGATGAACTTTAAAATCTTTTACTTAATAATTTTTTTTATTTCTTGAGATCAAAATGTTCGTAGTTAATATATTACTAACTAATGTTCTTATTCTTTTTTAACTACGAATGTTTTGACCAATTTAATAGGATATTAATTAATGAGTCTTACTTTTCCTTTTTAACCTACGAAATATTGTGCCTCTTTGTTAGAGTATTAGGAATACTAATTAAAGGAGTTTCCTACATTTTGTCTCTCTTCTTAATTGCTTATTCCTTTTCCTACGGTAATTTTGTTTTTTTCAAAAAGTATTTTATTTGTATTTACAATTTATCCAATATAAAGTGTATTTACAAAGGGTAAAAAAGATGAACGATATTTTGCTAAGGGCTTTCGTGCTTTTAATATAGTATAGATAATATAGATAGATAAAAGATGTGACACACATGTTACATATATGGAATTTATTCCCCGTGCTTTTGTGAAGCAATATTAATCTCCATAAATTAATTGTACACTCAACTATTGTCGTGTACAAATTTCAAACGGTAACAGCTCCCATGAATTTTGCATCTTCTCCCATAGCATGCAGAGTTTCAGGGGTCAAACAAGCTTCAATGTCAATATTTCCTTCTTCCAAACCACTAAAAATTGTTATTTTCCCATCATGTTTGTTTCCAGCCCCACTTCTCACAGCAATTGGTCTCCCCCATCCAAAATCATTGCCGTACACGTCGAAACGCGGCGAGCTGCTAGCAATCAAGCTATTAGTCACCACCTCACTCTTTTTCACTATCTTTGGATTTTTCATCCAACTTTGGTAAAAGTTCATAATTTCTTCGTGGGTTTGCATGGCTACAACCTTATTCATTTGCAAAGCTGCCCAACCTGAATCAGAAATGAATTCAGAATTTAATTTCTAGGCAATCTAATATTTTTGAAAAAATTAATTCAAAACATAACATTTAGTCCTCCGACCCAATTTAATTATGTGATATAGTTTGAATTTCGAGAGTCAAACTCCTTAATTTTGACTGTAACTTTCGAATATAGATCCTTAAGTTTTTTGGAAAAAAATACATAGTTGGAACTACAGAAAAGGCACTATAAATAACAATATTTAAAAATCATATGAAAAATTTGGTCAAAGAAAATCTGGTGTGACTATCCAAATTTGAAGTGTATCATATAATTTGGAACAGAAGGAGTGTATAAGATTGTGGCTTCAATATGAATACTGTACATCTGACACTCACCCGAATTATTCTCTAGCAACTCTCTGGCGGTGGTTGTCACGTTCACAAAATGGACTGCATTTCCAAAATAGCCTTCAGGTAAAGGCGGCTGAAGCCTTGGCCTTGCACCTATAAGTATTTTGAAACTAAATTTTTCGTCAGCGTTTGTACCACTACGGCAACGAATAACAGATTGCCATAGATGAGCCAAAACGGCTTGTAAAGAAGAGATACAAATCTTTTGGTCAGTTCCAAACTCAGAGTTGGCTTTGGCTTTGAGCTCAGCTATTTTCTCCTTGCTAAAATGGAAAACTCTTTCTTCCAACAGAGGTGGATCAAATTCATCGTACAGATGTTCTTTAGGTGAAGTGACATGAATTGGGGAAGCAGTACAGTTAGGAAACCAACGTTCGAGGACCGGCGGTTTATTCACTGTAAGATTAGAACTTCTAGTTCGAGATATTTCGGACCAAGAATTGAAGAAATGCCAGAAAGAAGTCCCATCGGCTACACAATGATTGATAGTGCATCCAATGAAGAATCCATCCACTAGCTCAGTGACTTGCACGGCCAACAAAGGTTTAGAAACACCTGTTAGAAACATAACATAATTAGGTATACAGTAATAAGTAAATAAATAGCATATACTTTGTCTATAATACTTTAAATAGATAATTCACATAATTTAAAATGATATTAGGGCTGCAAATAGAGGTCATGAATTCAAATATCACACCCCACCAAGAATTTAGAAAAGCAAAATATATTTTCCACGTGTTTGGAACATGAAAGAGAACCAGACCGATAAATGAGAGCCGTGTTGAGGTATATAATTAAGTACTCTTATGACAAAAATAAGATTTTCTTTGATCACGTTTATTGCAAATATTTTTTAATTATAATATTTGTGATTTTCTTGTTGCAACTATTTTTTAATTATAAATATTTTTAATTACGTACTCCCTCCGTTTCAATTTATGTGAACCTGCTTGACTAGGCACGGAGTTTAAGAAAAAATAAATACTTTTGAAATTTGTGGTCCAAAACAAGTCAAAAAGGGGCCCAGAGCATTTGTGTGGTTATAAAAACTTCTCATTAAGGGTAAAATTGTTACTTTAAGCTAAATTGTTATCAAATTTAGAAAGGGATCATTCTTTTTGGAACGTACAAAAGGGAAATAGGTTCACATAAACTGGAAGAGGAAGTATAAGATTTTCTTTGATCATGTTTCTTTGTGATTTATAATATTTGTATATAGTATTTAAATATGTACTAGACCCTTGTGGTCCAGCCATTCCTCAGACCCTGTGCATAGCGAGAGCTTATTGCACCGGACTGCCCTTTTTATTTAAATATGTAAATTCATTTTAAAAAATTTAAAAATTCTACGTCATACCGGATAATTAATTAGTTTGACCATCATACTTTTGAAAAAAATTACATAAACTAGATGGGGAGAGTAATATGTAAATCAAAATATGTTCTATTATAACTTAAACTTTTAGATGTTATAATATATGCACAAAATTTAAAACACCTTCGTAGTTGCGAACTCCATTCAGTGGAAAGAAAGATTTGACAATCTTTGGCACGTAAGTTGGCTGCACGATATCAGCCACAGTCAACCCTGATGCAGTGGCATGAGTGAATTCAACTCCTTCATTGCTGCAATTAATACAGAAAGATAAGGTGTTGTCACCGTTTTTACAAGCAGCAACTCGGCCAGCAAGGAGAGGAAAAAAATTTAGAGTATCAGAGAGTGAGATTTTTAGGCATTTGATGATTTCTGATGATGTTGCTAACTCTCTATGTTGCTGTGGATTTGGTTTTCGGAAAAGTAGTCCTTTTTGGATTGGATCTACTGTGAGGAGTTGGAGATCCCACGGAGTTAAGTGAATATTTTTGGTAGGAGAGTTTCTATCTATGGGTTTCGCAGACCTAATTACACATGTAGATACCGCTTGAAGTTTCGTCATCTCTGGACATTTGTTGCAGAAGATAACGGGGAAGAAAGGAATTATATATATGGCTCAGATGGCAAGTGACAAATACCTAACAATCTTATTAAAATTTGCTACTACTAGTGTTTGTCTTTTTCTTTTCTTTTTTTGTTTATTGAGTTGAAAGGCGTAATAGTTTTTCGGCTTTTGCTTAATAAACTATTCTCTACTGTACTTAAAAGACTCCCTCCCCCCCCCCCCCCCCCCTTTAATATAGGCAAAATACCTTAAAAATCCCCTAAACTTGACACCAATTATTAGTTATAATCTTAAATTATTCATGGTTTTAATTACCCCTCTTAACTAATTGGCCTTTTGAAAGTCATTACCCCCCTGGATGCTAATGTGGCAAAGAGTGTGGGTGCACTCACCTTCCACGTGGATTTTTCCTGTATATGTGATATTTTTTTTTTGTAAAATAACATATATTTTTACCTTTTTAAGTATGTTTCTTCTTTAAATAATTTTTTTCGAATACAATTTATAACAAAACTTGGATAGAACTACATTATTTAGGCTAAATTTTTTTTATTTGGCTAAAAATATTAATGTTTTAGTTAATTTTTTTGGAATTTGACATGAAAATAAAGATTTATACAGTTGAAATAAATAGTCAAGGCATCTAAAAAGTTATAAAAAATACATAGTTTGAAATTAATTATTTTGGCTATAATTTTTTGGCGAAATACATAAACGACCCCTTTAAGTTGTCCCCAACGATCAGAACAATACTTCAACGGACCATTTTACTATTTAGACACTTCAAGAGGCAATTAAGTGTGTCAAGTAAACACCCGAGCCCAGCAAAATATATGTGTGAGTTACACTTTCTAGTGATGTATTAAATGAACCAATTAAAGATTGACATGCGTAATTTTTAAAAAATATTTGAAACATATAATTAACAAAAAATTGCTTTCCCCATCTAACAAATAGACTTTGAACAGACCTAGAAATTTGGTCTCTTTCAAACAGACCCGGTCATCTTCTTCTTCGAAAAGTTCGAACCAAAGCTTATCGAATCAACTGCAGTCGACCTTAATCTATAGATTCCGCTTCATAAAGAAGCTTTCAACAAAAGCTTCCGAACGTTTAATCAATTCGACCTCCAATTATCGTATCAAAACCCAGCTTCTTCCATAATGTGGGCGGTGAAGAACGACGGAACACAAACTCATATTTTTAGAATTTAAGATGGGTTTCGAAGATTAGTATAATCATGTGTTAGTTTGGATTGACTTGCTTTATGTGTTAATGTTTGAATGGTGCAAATTGAAGACATTGTTCGAGCAGCCAAGAGGGTTTGTACAGATCCTTCCCCATGGAAACTGCTATTTGAGCTTGTAAAATGACTTCACGTGCCCAAAATATTGTTAGCAAAAACGCATATGTCACATAAGCAACATGTATTTAGTTGACACACTTAGTAGCCTCTTGAAGTGTTTAAATGGTAAATGGGTCAGTTGAGGTGTTTGTTTGATCGTTGGGGACAACTTAAAGGGGTTGTTTATGTATTTCGCCTATATTTTTATATAGCTCTAAATTATGCTGCTCTATATATATATATATATATATATATATATATGTTACAGATTTTACCTGAAAAAATAAAAATACACAGCTCAAATAAAGAGTGAGTGCATCAAAAGAAGAAGTAAAAAGAATGTGCAATTTCTCCAACTGTGTAGTTTTATTTCTTCAACTGTGTACAATTTTTTCAACTATAAAAAGAGTGTACTCTTTTTGTTTCTTCTTTTGATGCAATGACTATTTTTTCAACTGTGTATTTTTACTTTTCAAGTAAAATCTGTAAAATAATATATTTTTAGAGCACCATAATTTAGAGCTATATAAAAAATTATAGCTAAAATAATTAATTTCAAACTATGTATTTTTTATAACTTTTTTGATGCCTTGACTATTTATTTCAATTGTATAAATCTTTATTTTCAGGTCAAATTCAAAAAAAAAGATTAATTAAAACTTTATTATTTTTAGCCAAATAAAAAAAATTAGCCTAAATAATGTAGTTCTATCCATGTTTTATAATAAATTTTATTCGAAAAAATTGTCTAAAGAAGTAACATACTTAAAAAGGTAAAAATATATTTTATTTTTCAAAAAAATGCCACATATACAGGAAAAATTTACGTGGCAGGCGAGTGCACCATACACTCTTTGACACATCAGCGTCCAGGGGGTAATGCCTCTCAAAAAATCAAGTCGAGGGGAATAATTAAGAGCACGAATAGTTTAAGGCTGTAACTAATAATCCGTGTCAAGTTTAAAGATTTTTTAAGGTATTTTGCCTTTAATATATAGTACTATATAGCAAGTTACTTTGTTTTCTATATTACTAGCTTCAACTACTTTCACTTATTATTCACATGCTCATTTATATATTATTATATACAGTATCATTTAAATGATTTGACACTATATATATGTTCTTTTACAAGCATGTTAATGTACGAAGAAGTTATACCAGGTTTTTAATTCTATTTCTGTTTGTTTTGCTGACTAACAAAGTTATTTATGAAAACCTTTGGTATTATTCTGATTTTCTTATCATATTTGGTTTTCCTATCTTTTGAACAGATTCACCTTACCTAGAAATTTTGACAATGAGATACAAGGACTTTGGCTTCTTAATACTCTGCTAGACTCTTGGGAAACTCTTCGTGTTTCTTTGGCAAATTCAGCTCCTGGAGGTAAGGTGACCATGGAATATGCCAAGAGTGGCGTGTTGAACGAGGAAGTAAGGAGAAAATCTCAGGGTTCGTCCTCACAAGCAAATATCTTGGCTACAGAAGACCGGGGGCGAGATAGAACAAGAGGCTCGAGGAATAGAGGTAAAAGTAGAAGTAAGTCAAGGTCCAAATACCATAATATTACATACAACCACTATAGTAAGAAAGGACACATTAAAAGATTTTGCCACAAGTTGAAGCAAGACACTAGAGAAGGAAAGAAATTTGAAAATAACGAGAACAATGTTGCTGCTATTGTTTGAGATGACCTTCTTTTTGCTTATGATGAAAACGTCATCAATTTGGTATCCCATGAGACGAGCTGGATAGTAGGTTTTGGAGCTACCTCACACGTCACCAAGAAAAGACTTTTTATCATCTTATACTCATGTTGATTCTGGAGTATTAAAGATGGGCAATGCCAGTGAAGTTAAGGTGTTTGGTGTTGGCACAGTTTGTTTAAAAACTAATAATGGTTCAACGTTAGTTCTTGAAGATGTCAAGCATGCTCCAGACTTTCCTTTCAATTTGATCTCCGCGGAAAGATTAGACGATGAAGGTTACCATAATTTCCTCTTTAATGGCAAATGAAAGCTCACCAAGGGCTCGTTAGTAGTGGCTCGAGGAGTCAAGTCTAGTCATTCATATGTGACACAAGGCTCCATTCTTAATGACTCCATAAATCTGGTGGAAAGTGAAACTTTATCAGAATTGTGGCATAAAAGATTGAGTCATATGAGCGAGAGGGGGATTACGTGTTTGTCTAAGAAAAGTTTGTTTTCTGGAGTGAAACAAGCAAAGCTAAAAAGTGTATCCATTGTTTAGCTGGCAAACAAAAAAGGGTTTTCTTTCATAGCCATCCTCTCTCAAGAAAGCCCGATTTATTGGAGCTAGTACACTCTGATTTGTGTGGTCCTTTTAAAGTAAAGTCAAAAGGTGGTACGCTTTACTTTGTGACCTTCATTGATGATCATTCTCGTAAGCTCTGGGTGTATCCTTTAAAATCTAAAGATCAAACACTTGGCGTGTTTAAGGAATTTCAGGTCTTAGCTGAGAGACAGACGGTGAAGAAGCTAAAATATATTTGCGCTGACAATGGTGGTGAATATTGTGGTCCCTTTGATAACTATTATAAGGAACAAGGAATTCGTCATCAGAAAACTCCGCCCAAGACGCCTCAATTGAATGGTTTGGAAGAGAGGATGAATAGAGCTCTAGTTGAGAGAGTTAGATGCTTGCTTTCAGAGGCTAAACTTCCAAATAAATTTTGGGCGGAAGCACTTAACACTGTTGCCTATGTTATCAATTTGTATCCTGCTGTTGCTTTGGATGGTGATGTCCCAGACAGAGTTTGGTTTGCCAAAGATGTTTCTTATGATCACCTGAGAGTTTTTTGGTGTAAAGCTTGTGTGCATGTTCCTAAATATGAGAGATCGAAACTAGACGTCAAAACTAAGCAGTGCATCTTTATCGATTATGGTCAAGATGAGTTTGGGTATCGTTTTTATGATCCAGTTGATAATAAACTTATTAGAAGTCGTGATGCAATATTCTTTGAAGACCAGACTATTATACATATTGACAAAGCTGAGAAGATAGATTCTCTGAGTAATGAGAGCTTAGTTGATATTGATCCAGTTCTATTGCTAAGGCACCTATTGCACATGAAGGAACCCAAGACAATAATGAAGATAGTAATCAAGATCAAAATGATCATCAAGGTGTAGATGATGAAGTTGTGGTTGACCAACGATTAATTCCTTCTTAGGTAACTACTTTGAATGTCCTAAAACATCTCTTAGAAGATCTACAAGGGAGAAGCAAAAATCCATGCGCTATCCTCCTGATGAGTATGTACTTTTGACTAACATGGGAGAACCTGAAATCTATGATGAAGCCATGCAAGATACTCACAAAGATCAGTGGATAGAAGCCATGGAAGATGAGATGAAGTCACTCCATGAGAATGGCACATATGAGTTAGTGAAATTGTCGAAAGCTAAGAAAGCTTTATCAAACAAATGGATATTTAGAGTAAAACAAGATAACCATACCTCTATGCCCAGGTACAAGGCGAGGTTAGTTGTTAAAGGTTTTGGCCAGAAGAAAGGAGTTGACTTTGATGAGATTTTCTCCCCTATTATGAAGATGTCTTCTATTCGTGTGGTTCTAGGCTTAGCCACAAGTCTAGATTTAGAGGTTGAGCAGGTGGATGTCAAAACTGTTTTTCTTCATGGTGATTTAGATGAGGAGATTTATGCAC